TGAAGTTGAGTTGAGCACAGCTTTTCACCCTCAGACGGACGGGCAATCCGAGCGCATTATTCAGATATTGGAGGACATGTTGCATGCTTGTATCATTGATTTCGGAGGGTCATGGGATCAGTTTCTACCGCTTGCAGAGTTTGCTTATAACAACAGCTACTAGTCAAGTGTTCAGATAGCTCCATATGAGGCTTTGTATGGGAGGCGGTATAGATCTCCCGTTAGTTGGTTCGAGCCCGGTGAGGCTAGGATATTGGGGACAAACTTGGTGTAGGATGCTTTAGAAAAGGTGAAGGTGATTCAGCAGAGACTTCATACAGCACATTTGATACAAAAGAGCTATGTTGATAGGAAGGTTCGGGATGTGTCCTACATGGTTGGCGAGAAGGTTCTGTTGAAGGTTTTACCCATGAAGGGAGTTATGAGATTTGGGAAGAAAGGGAATTGAGTCCTCGGTTCATTGGGCCTTTTGAGGTGCTTTGGAGAATTGGGGAGGAGGCTTATGAGCTTGCTTTACCACCCAGCTTGTTCAGTGTGCATCCGGTATTTCATGTTTCTATGCTCCGAAAGTATATTGGGGATCCGTCTCATATTCTGTATTTCAGCACGGTTCAGTTGGATGATGGTCTGACTTATGATGTGGAGCCTGTAGCTATTTTGGGTCGTCAGGTTTGAAAGTTAAGGTCAAAGGATATAGCTTCAGTGAAAGTGTAGTGGAGAGTTCGGCCCGTGGAGGAGGCTACCTGGGAGACTGAGCGGGAGATGTGGAGCAGATATCCTCACCTGTTTGAGGCTTCAGGTTTGTTTCTTGATTCGTTCGCGGACAAAACGTTTGTTTAAGTTGGGGAGGATGTGACGACCCAGCCAGTTGTCTTATGAGTTACCACTCCATTTTCCACCATTTTTTGCTTCTTTATGCTTTGTTTATCCGTGTTATGTGGTATCGGGTTGGTCGGATTGAATCCGGCATGATTTTGGTAAGGTTTGAGACACTTAGTCTCTTTTAAGGAAGTTTAAGTTGGAAAAGTCAACTGGATGTTGACTTAAGTGTTAGAGGGCTCGAATGTGAGTTCCAATGGTTCGGTCAGCTTCGGGAGGTGATTTGTGACTTAGGAGCGTAATCGGAATGAATTTTGGAGGTTCATAGTAGATTTAGGCTTGAATTGGCGAAGTTGATATTTTAGCGATTTTCGGTTGGTAGGCGAGATTTTGATATAGGGATCGAAATGGAATTCCAAGAGTTGCAGTAGTTCCGTTGTGTCATTTGGGGTGTGTGTGCAAATTTTCAGGTCATTCGGACGTGGTTTGGTGGTGTTTTTGATCAAAAGCAGAATTCGGAAGATTTTAGAAAGTTCGACTTGAATTCGATGTGTTTTGGGTGATTTGATATTGTTTGAGGTGTTTTGATGATTGGAACAAGTTCGAATAAGGTATTAGGATATGTTTGTGCTTTTGGTTGAGGTCCTGGGGGCCTCGGGATGATTTTGGAAGGTTAACGGGGAGTTTGAAACCTTGTTGCAGCTGCTGAACTTTGCTGCTTCTCGTATTTCTGCACATGCTGATTGGGAACCGCAGGTGCGATGCCACACGTGTGGGAGATCGGCCGCAAAAGAGAAAAAAGCTTGAGGAGCAGGAACCGCAGAAGAGGCTAATGGGACCGCATCTGCAAAAACGCAGATGTGAATAATGGATCGCAGAAATGGAAATGCCTGGAAAGGCAGTGACTATAGATGCGGTTGATGGACCGCACTTGCGAAGGCGTAGGTGCGAAAGGTTGATTGCAAAAGCGGTTTTGGTCCATTTAGTGACTTTCGTAGAAGCGGAATAAGAACCGCATATGTGGAACCGCAGATGCGAAAATGACTGGGCAGAAAGTATAAATTGTGGTCTTCGCGAATTTTAACTAATTTCACCATTTTTATCTCGGCTTTGGAGCTTTTTGAACGATTTAAAAGAGGGATTCAAGGGAACTTCATTGAGGTAAGGAATTTGGACCTAAAACTCGTTCCTATGCTATTATTTCATGGATTAGAGCTAGAAATCATGGAAATTAAGGGTGAAAATTGGGGAAACAAGGGCATGGGAACTTAGACCTTTAATTGGGGAATTGAAGGACCATTTGGGGTCGGATTTGAGAAATTTTGATATGTATAAACTCGTGGGGAGATAAGAAATCTATTGATGTAAAAATTATTGAATTCTGAGACGTGGGCCCAGGGTTCGGGTTTTGGTAATTTCAGGATTTGTGTCGTATTTTGATTATTTTCGCTTAGACTTTGTTCCCTTAGCATATTTTGACGTCCTCATTCTGATTTTGGATAGATTCGATGCGAGTGGAGGACAATTCAAGGTGCAAAGGCATCGCGAGCTAGAGAATTGACCGGTTCGAGGTAAGTAATGATTGTAAATGATGTTTTGAGGGTTTGAAACCCCGGATTGCACATCGTAGTGCTATATTGAGGTGAGGCACACGTTTAATGACGAGCGTGGGGTCATGCACTATTGGGGATTGTGACTTGGTCCATCCCGATTGATGATTTTACCGCGTATTTGACTGAAATCTATTTGTTATCATCACTATTTGGGCTGAATGTCATATTTTGGCCTTGTGCCAACTATTTGAACCCTTTGGGGATTTTTACTGGTATTTCCTCACTGTTTTGACTTTATACTTGAACTCAGTCATGTTATATTTCACTATTTTTTGTACTCAGCCATGTTTACTCTGTTTTAACACTTACATGATCTTTTAAATGATATTTTGGGCTAAGAAACATGTTTTACTACTGCCCGAGTGGCTTGTGAGGATTTTGACTAAGGACGAGGGCCTATGTTGTGAGGAAATATTTGATACTGATTATGAGGCCGAGGGCCTGAGATATGTACGCCACGAGGTGGCTTGATTGATATGAGGATGAGGGCCTAGTGATTATACCACGAGGTGGCTTGATATTGCGCTTGGGTCATAAGGGGCCCCTCTAGGAGTCTGTACACCCCTAGTGAGCGCGGGTACCCGTTGTGATATGAGATTGAGCCCGAGGGCTGGTATTGTTCTATGTGATTGCCCGAGGGGCTGGTATTGTTCTGAGATGTTGCCCGAGAGGCGGATTTGTTGATACTGTGCCCGAGGGGAAAACCTTTATGTGTTTACTTTCCATAATTGACTGTAATTTATCTGCTTAATTATTGAAAAAGGCTTTTCATGAAACTACATTTGAGTTAAAGGATTTTACCTATCTTTCACTGTTTTACTGTTTTTAAATGGCTTTTAATGCTTCATTATAGAATGCCTTGTGCTTTACGTGATTTCTTGCTTTCAGTCTTTATTTACATTTGTTACTCACTGAGTTGGAGCACTCACTTTACTCCCTGCACCCCTGTGTGCAGATTCAGGCGTTGCAGATCCTGCTAGTGCGAGTTGAGAGCTCCCGGCAGATATCGGAGTCCACGAGGTAGCTGTTTGACGTCCGCAGTCCCGTGTTTCTCCCTCTTTGTCGTTTCTATCTCTATGTCATACAGTTTGTAATAATTTATAGACTTCTCAGACTTGTATTAGAACTTGTAGATGCTCATGATTAGTGGCACCCCAGTATCGGGCTGTGTTGGGTTGTTCTTCCGCGTATTTATGATATTATCTGCTACTTTGGATTATTTTATCATATTTCGACTGTTTCTAAATGCTCAACTGTTAATAATTGGAAAGAGGGGAAGTGTCGGCTGGCTTTGTCTTCACGAGAGGCGCCATCACGACCAGATTTGGGTTTGGGTCGTGACACAAGGGATAAAAAGACTAATGAGTTTAGTATCAAAAACTTGAAGGCAGAACATAATTGTTATCCTTGTTATAAAAATTCAAGGGCTGATGCAAAGACATTAGCACAATACTTTAAGAATAAACTACAAAACAATCTCAAGTATACTATTAAGGATATGAGAGGGGAATTAGAGAATGATTTCAAGCTTAATGTGACAAGATCTAAGCTTAAAAGGGCTAAGGTGATGATCTTTGAGAAGTTATATGGGAGTTTCAAGGATGAATATAACAAGCTTGAAGCCTATGGTCAAGAACTAAGACTATTTAATCCTGGGAGTGATGTTGCAATCAACATATCAAAGGATGCTTTGGAAGAAGGGAAAAGGAGGTTCTTGAGATTGTACATATGTTTCCAAGCTTTGAAGCTAGGCTTCAAAAGTGGACTGAGACCACTTATTGGTTTGGATGGTACTTTCTTGAAGGGAAAATGTAAGGGTCAGCTATTGGTGGCAATGGGACAGGATTTTATGAGTCAGTTCTATCCACTTGCTTGGGCAGTGGTTGACAAGGAAACAAGTAAGACCTGGAGTTGGTTTGTTGATCTTTTGAAGAGGTCTTTGGACCTAAATAATGGGGCTGGAGTGACATTTATGTCAAACCTGCAAAAGGTACCATTTCTTATTTCAATTCTGTTTTTAATTCTGCTTTTTACATTTCTATTTTCAACACTGCTTTCTCTTTAGTTTTTGCTTCTGTTTTTTCTTCTATTTTTATCTATTTTCAATATAGTTTTTACTTCTGTTTTTTCTTCTATTTTCAATATAGTTTTTACTTCTATTTTTTATTTTATTTTTATAAATAAAGTTTTTACTTCTATTTTTATCTGTTTTCAATACTATTTTTACTTCTATTTTTTCTGTTGTTCTCATCTATTTCAACTACTATTTTTTGCCCTGTTCTCATCTGTTTCAATTATGTTTAGTTTTTTATTTTTTTCTTCTGTTCTCATCTGTTTCAACTATGTTTAATTTTCTATTTTTTCTTCTGTTCTCATCTACAATCACAGGGGTTATTAGATGATGTGAGCACTATACTACCTGATGCTCATCACAGGTATTATGCTAGACACATTGAAGCCAACTGGTTAAAAAAAATGGAGGAGTGGGGAAATGAGGAAGTTGATGTGGTGGTGTGCTTGGAGTACTTATGAAGAAGAGTTAAAGATCAGTTGTTGAAACTTGGGGGGATGTCAGAGGATGTTGCAAAGGACTTGATCAACTATCCACCAAAAGCATGGTGTAGAGCCTACTTTGATACACAATGTAAAAATCTAATGGTGGATAATAATTTTACTAAGTACTTCAATGCATGGATTCTAGATGCTAGACATATGCCAATTATCAATATGTTGGAGAACATAAGGATCAAGGTAATGGAAAGGCTTGCAGACTATGAAGGCAAAGCTATGAGCTGGAATGACAATTTCAGTCCACCATGTATGAAACTATATCACGACTATAGGGCAATATCACATGCTTGCACTTTGAAATTTAATGGAGATAATGGCTATGAAATAACAGAAGGTAAAGACAAATATACAATGAATCTTGAGAAGAAGAGATGTACCTGTAGGTTATGGGATTTATCTGTAATACCTTGTCCCCATGCTATTAAGGCATTGATGCATGAGAAGATTGAACCAGTGACACAAATACACTGGTGGTGTAGTAAGGAGGCTTACTTGCTAACATACAAGTACAAAATTCAGCCTGTTAGAGGGGTGCAATTCTGGAAAGTTCTGCCTAGTCAGGCCATGGAGCCACCTGAAATTGTCAAGATGGTTGGAAGACCCAAAGTAAAGAGGAATAGGGTTGCTGATGAAGCTTTGAAGAGGAAAGGTGAGTGGAGTAGTTCAAGGAAGGGAATTATAATGACNAGAGGGGTGCAATTCTGGAAAGTTCTGCCTAGTCAGGCCATGGAGCCACCTGAAATTGTCAAGATGGTTGGAAGACCCAAAGTAAAGAGGAATAAGGTTGCTAATGAAGCTTTGAAGAGGAAAGGTGAGTGGAGTAGTTCAAGGAAGGGAATTATAATAACGTGCAGACAGTGTGGTGATGAAAATCATAATGCAAGAGGATGTTACAAGGTAAAGATTTATATTTATTGTAGTTTATGAAATAATTACAATTTTTGTAGATTATTTACTAACTATTGTCTTTGGTTGGTGTCGCGCCCTCTTTTTCTCGCGAAATTGGGTTTATGACATTGACAACTCTGTTAACGGTTATTAAAAATGAAGAGTCTCCACCTAATGATTAAAGTGCATTAGGATACTAAGAAGAGTTTGATTTAGAAAACCAGAGATTGGGTAAGGGCATGAAATTATCCCGAAGGGAAGGTGTTAGGCACCCCTCAGGATCCACTAGTGTGGTTCCCAGCCATACTATAATTGTGACTTTAAGTAAGCAAGTAAGAGTTTCAAATATGAGGGGGTTTTCACATAATGTTTGCAAATAGATAAAATTAAAACAAGTGAAAGGCAAGCTGAAATTTGAGAAAAACGATTTGAAATTCTGAAAGGTAAACAACGAAATAAACAAGTAAAGGGAAGGGGGTCCTAGGTTTATAAATAATATGGATCACCCCACACAATGTCTGGTAATTGCTCCTCGACGAGGGGTTACACATGACATTATCGTGTGGTCATCATATCCATATCTACCCTTTCCCTCCCCGTTAAGGTATTAAAGCACGGAATAGTCTCGTTTACTTATTGCATGCTATTACCCGCCCCAATCCTATCAGCCCCGGAGGTAATTGAGACTACTAATCCTATAATGAAGTAAAAGTTGGCTTATTTGTGGTTTTAAAGGTAAAAATACTAGGGCGGCAAACAAAAATACGTATAACAAGTATAGGGAGACACATAAACAAATAAGTCCCAAACAGACCTCCTTGAATCAAAGGAAGCATATAGTTTAGCATGTCTTGCACGTATTGATTAAGGTCTGATTAAACTTAAAAGGTTGAGACAGACTGATTTATTACATATTTCAGATAAGAAATCCGAATCAGGCCTGCCTACTGGTTGTAATTGACAAAATCTGACAAGTTTACCTTATGGCTTGCCTAAGTATTAGGCGAAACCTATAGGCATAATATCTACTGCTTTCAGAAATAAAGAAGTAAACTGATTACAGAAAGGTTGCCAGTTTTTAACAGAATAATACAAGTTCTGCAGTTGATAATGCATTACTACTGACAAATTTAACTTAAAACGAGTGAGGCGGTTCATATTTAGTTGATAGTTCCTATAGGCATGTTTCTAGGCATTGTTGATTTTAAACATTTTTACATACGTAGCAAGAGTGCAGAAATCCTATGGCATCTAAATGTTGTTAGTTATTAAATCCTATAGACAGGTTTGTCTAGTGACGGATGCATATGCAGGATTTGAATTTCTAGTTAACTACGAGCATGGTATCTATATGAGAGATGCACAACTTTCTTATAGACATGGTATCTATATAATGCAGAGGTGTAGAAAACCTTAAAGACACGGTATCTATATGAATGCATAAACCTATAGACATGGTGTCTATATAACGCAGGAATTCTTATAGCCATGGTGTCTATATGCAAGTGCAGAATTCTGTAAGTAAACCTATAAGCAGGATATCTACGTGGATGCAGAAATTAATAAACCTATAGGCGTGTTATCTAAAGATGAGAATGCAGAAATAGGCATGGTATCTGCAGAAATTAATAAGCCTATAGGCATGATATCTATAAATGCAGAAGTGCAGAAAACCCTATGAGCAGGACATCTACATGAACGCAGAAGTGCAGATACTATAGGCAAGGTATCTGTATGAATGCAGAAGTGAAGAAAACCCTATGAGCAGGACGTCTACCCCTTGCATGCATGGTTACCCCTCCCTTTTCACTAATCACCCCAAACGTTTATTACAAAGTTATTACAATCAAAAAATAAAATAGAGAAAATACATCAGAATATTGAAAATTACAACCAAGGAGAGCCTGACTCAGACTTCCTGTCTGAAGTATAAAGTAAACCAACTCCCAAGATCAAGATCCAAAGCCTTTCTCTCATTTGGATATGTTAGAGTTCCCTAAGAGCCTCATATGGACTCGGGCAGTGCTCAAATTCAAATACATTGCAGGATTAAGTCATAGTGCAGTGTGGAAGGGCCAGCCCTCAAGTATCCAAGTTCAGAGGGAACTCAAGGTCCCAAGGCAAGGCTCACAGGAGGGGGCAGAACTTAGAAGCTAAGAGTGAGTGCAAGTGCAGAGTTCTGAGAGGGGGAAAGGAGAAGGAAGTAACTTAAAACCAGTGCACATAGGGGTATAGGGGAGTGGGGAATTTGCAGGAAGAGCAGGCAAAAGGGGCATACCCAGCAATGAGACCTACTGGCACACCCTCCAGCCTACTTAGAGGTTAACACCTCAGGGGATCAAAACTCAGTTCGTAGACAACAATTCCTGCTGTCATGCCCTAAGTCTCGACTTACAAACACATAGGGGTAATGGGATAGGGAGCAAGTGTTCGCAGAAAGAGGCAAGTAGTAGCACATAGGCATATTAAGTTAGATGCTAAACTTTACAGAGAACAAATGAAGTAGACATGGATATAAAGACTGTAAGTAAACACATTGGGGTGATGCTGAAAATTAAGTTAGGACATACCAGTTTCAAAGGGACAAGTAAAGAAGAAAGCATTAGTCTTGTAAAATCCAAAGTGTAAATAGGAAGTCAGAATACTATAAGTATGAGTTCAGAAGAGATTGTGAAACTGTGAAGTCTGAAGTGTAAAAGTGTTGAGTTGAAAGTGTCCTCTGGTGAGAAAGGAGTCATGCCCTTTTATAGTGTAGAAGGCAAGAAGAAATAAGGTAAGAGAAAAGTTTCAAAATTGATTGTCAATCAATTACACAAGTTTTCCCTTTAATTAAGGGATTCAGATTACAAACGGGTATAAACCCATTAAGGAAAGAAATTAATCAAATACTTTGTGCAAAGTAGTAAATTAGAGGCAAATACATAAAGGTTATTTAAGGACAGGGTCTTGATAGTATACGGTTTGTGCAAATACGGTAAGGGAATCAGTTAACAACCAGGAAATCAGAGTTCACAGATTTGGTATGAATGAACCAAGTCAGAAAGGTGGAAAAGGTTTTACTTAAGTGAAATCAGTAACAATCAATTAGACCTATTAAAAGGAATTCTAAATCAATCACAAGTTGGAAAACCTTTTTGAAGAAATATTCATCACATATAAAAAGAAACAGACACATTAAACATGAGAGAAACTTATTGTGCCAATCAGTAGAAGAGTCTAGTGTAGAGGAATTAAAAAAAAAAGCTCAGAATTGTGTGCAAACAAAGAAGTTCAAACTTAGTTCATAGACTCATAGATTAGTCTGAAAGAGTCAAGGGTTCTCAAACAGAACCCTAGTTCAATCACATGACTAAACCTCGGCAGAACCCCCAAATTCTAGGGTTTCCACCTCGAGTCAAGTACAGAGATAAGGGAGCCAGTCAAAACAGGCTCAGAGATTTCTTTCAGAAACTCATGAGAAAACAAGCAACTTCAGTAGAA